TACATTATTTTATTGTTTATTATGCCATATTAAATTAATTTTGATAGATTAATAAGCCGCAGAGTTGATATTAGGGAAAACTGAAGTACAGTGGTACATCGAGTTAGGGAACTCTATTTGCTCCAGAAGGCTGTTCGAGTGCCGATACTAAACGAATTTTTTCCCCAAAAGGAATAATGCATATTGATTAGTCCGTTTCAGACCCCCAAAAATACACTCACAAAAGCACTTACGAAAAAACACTTACATAATTGTTCGAGTTGGGAGCTGTCAAAACTCGAGGTACACTATTTTGTTTGTGCCTGGAATTCAAAATGGAAAGGATTAATTCCATTTCAATTAATTTAAATGAGGAAAACTGACTCGACAAACGAGCAAATCGAGTTTCAAGCAAGGTAAAGGAACAGATTAAACTCGCAAGTAGAGGTTTGCTGTAGTTGGAAGTAAAACTAGTAACTGCAAGAATTAATGAAAATGTTAAAGAAATTGAATGCTGGGCCCTTTTCCCAAAGCACTTTTACTGCATTATTTACTGGGATTTTTGTGCAGCCAAGATTTTCCAATTCAAATGTGTTGTGTCAAGCATGAATTTTTATCAGGCATCATGGCCTGAAGTATCAAGATTCAAGGCTTCTTGTCAGAGATCAATGAAGACTTTGGGAATTTGCTGTACCATACAGAGGGGGCTGAGAAGAGGTTTAAGGTCTTCAAATGATTTGTTAATCTGTCATGCATATAACTGACAGAGGACAAAAGCATTTTCTGACCTAGAAGGATTTGGGATTAGGCTTTAAGTGACGTAACAAAGCATGCAAATAATTTAATTACAAGATTGCAGGGCAAAAGGAAACTAGTACCTGAGGAAAAGATAAATATGTTTGTGAAGGTGGTCAATAAGGGTAATTTTTCACACTTTTCCTCCTGTAATGAACTCATTTCCAACAAGGAAAGGAATTCACAAATTCCAGTGGAAAGATATGATCACTAAAGGTGACTGATTTCAAGGAAAGTTTTGGCGATTATCAAAAGAATTGGAAGGAGATATGAATCTTTCATAATCTATCTGAAGTTTCACCAGATGACTGAAGTGAAGACATTTCAGACTGCACATTGATTTACAAGCCACTGACACAGAAATGTACAAGGAAAGAAGTCTGTTGAAATTTTATTCAAGCCCCTCCTACACATTTGTAACTCTGAGAAGTTTGCTACAGGAATGTTCAATCTTTAACAGCACATACATTTGAGAAACTTTCTCAAGGATGAAAACCGTTATTGCCTAAGTTAAAGCTTCAGCATTCAATTTCAATACATTTTAATTAATTTTTACAATGTTACTAGTATTACTTCCAACTATGTTTCTTTCATCAATACCTTGATATACCTCTGAAGAGTTTCGGGAGTTTATCTACTCTCTGAGCCCGGCCATGGGCCAGGCTCGTCTGGTGCTTGCCTGGTCAACCAGGCTGTTGCTGCGTGGGGCCCGCTGCCCCACATATCCATCAGAGCCTGGTTGATCTGGCACCTGGTGAAGATACTTGTCCAGTTTCCTCTTGAAGGTTTCAACACTTGCTCCAGCAGTGTTTCTGATATCTTCTGGTAAGATGTTGAAAAGTCTTGGACCCCGGATGTTGATACAATGTTCCCTTATTGTTCCCACCGCACCATGCTCCTCACTGGGTTTATTTTACACTTCCTCCGATATCTCTCACTCATCATGTTATGGCAGTGTGCAGATTTGGGACCAAGCCCTCGAGTACCTTCCAGGTATATATTATCATGCACCTCTCTCTCCTCCACTCCAATGAGTACATGTTCAAGACTTGCAGGCATTCCCAGTAGTTTAGGTGCTTTACTGGCTCAAAATCTTAAAACTGTCACAAACATTGATGCCAATGCTCTACTAAACTGCAGCCTCAAAGAACAAAAAAAGTACAAAACAGTGACTTTGTAAAGGGTCCAACTTGGACCATTTACAAAGGAGCTTACAACTTTGTTGTAAGCTCCTCCTGCCTCCCTCTCTCTCTCCTATGTGTGGGTTACTTGTGTACTGCAGCCTCAAGTATCACATTAAATGAACAAGAAGCTTCAAGTGACCTGCTTACACTGTATATCTATTCATAACTTGAATCATAAACGACTGGAATAAACTTGTATCAACCACACTTTGTTACACTTGTAATTATAACTTATTTTTTCAAATGTGCTTTAGCACATAATGAGTGAAAGGCAAATTGTACTACACTTTTACACTATCAGCTAGTTATTGGAAAATTATTATTTTGCAAGTAAATGAGGCGATTTCTGGAAGATGTTTATAAGGTTATTAATACTTCAGATATCTAATGTGGCCTACTTCTGCAAAAAGGTTCAAAGCACTGGGTTAGACAAGTACACGAGTAAGAATGGTTTGGTACAAGTTGGACCTGCCTTGTATGGTCAATTAGGCCTATTGCAGTTCTTCTAAATTCTTACATATGCTCTTATGTCTTGCCTAGCCCAGATATTCAAACCCAGGCCCTTTTCAGTTGTATGCCAACTGCTCCAAGCACTGAGCTACAGATCACCTCTGAATAAATTATTAGACTACAAACTGATAAATCACATGTAGTACATACATCTGCTTTTTATAACTAGAAGGACCTACATTAACCCATCATTACTCGTAATAGTTTATTTATGAACAGTGAATTATACAAATGAACATAAATTATGTACCGTACATAATGTGCAATAAGACTAAGACTAATATCCACGTGTCTAGATGAAATAAATAATAGGGACCAGATGAAATGCTTTTTATTTAATCCCATGATCAATATTTTGTTTATCACCAGGTCTGTGAACTTAATTGATAGGTTTTCTTGTAATGAAAACCTATTGCTAAAGTTGATCAATGAAGTTCTTCAATGGAGACCAATATCATGTGGGCCTAAAGGAACAGTATTTATGTTGATAACCCAAAATATAAAAAGTAACTACAGCTAAGTAGCCTAATCTAACCTAATCAAGACTAGAAGTTAAATTTTGGTTAGTTTAAGTTGGGTTAATTAGTTTAAGCGTGTTTACCAAAAATCAACCTTCACAGCACTGAACTAATATTCTCTAGAAAGTTATAAAATATATTTGAAGCATACACATGGAAAATATTAATAAAATCATGAAAATATCTAACCGAAACATTACCGCAATGGACCTAAAACTAGATAAATTTTACTGCAATTATTAACGACTGCTCCTAGACAGAAACTCTGGTAGATATTACTTCAAATTTTACATTATTATTATTATTACAGTCAAAACTAAGCACTAAATGCACAAAGTCATAGATATATTTTTCAATAAAAACAATTTATTATTTTTTTTATATTTGGCGATATCAAAATGTGTATTTTGGCATATGGGCGCACCAGGGGTCAATTAATGATATTGAGTTTTGTAACATGCTTGGCTAATCCTAGTGACTAAGACATTTCTAATGTACTGATGATAAGAGTAAGGTTAAGCTATTGTGCAATTCAAGTTATAATTGTCAAAATTCACTAAGGACTCAATCTTAATAACTATCAAATTTAGATTTATAAAGGATACAGATCAACACTGATTTAACTAATAGTTACAGACGAGTAAAACAGAATGAAGGAGAAAGGAAGTCTTCGGACCACTGATCCAAGAAGGTTAAGAACCCAGGATAACTCATGACAATCAAGCTGTATTAAGGCATTCTTGCTGCAGTCCTTGTTTGTCCTCTTCCTTAAAAAGTGACATTTAACATCCAAATAACTCTTTCCTATTTATTTACTGCTAGGCGACTAGGGGCAATTAACTTAGGGAGACTTACCTATGTATTTAACCTCACCTCTGAACTGAATGGCTCTTTAAGTTGGTGAAATTAAGTGATTTAAGAAAATGCTTTGAGTAGCTTCAAAATTTGCATTCATACATTCATGGGAGTGCTAAACTCATATGGGTCATACCATGCCTGGGGAGAATGAGAGGTATTCAGGCTCGAGTAAGGAATTGGAGGCACAGGTTCAATTCCTTGGATCAAGAGCCCATTAGCAGGATCAAGGAACATTCCCTGAGGCTAAATGAGTGAGTGGGTATTAGCAGTAAATTGTCAAGTGTGGACCAGTAACTATAGACCAGTAGCCAAGCATAGACCAGTAGGCCAAGCATAGACCATAGGCCAAGCATAGACCAGTAGGCCAAGCATAGACCAGTAGGCCAAGCATAGACCAGTAGGCCAAGCATAGACCAGTAGGCCAAGCATAGACCAGTAGGCCAAGCATAGACCAGTAGGCCAAGCATAGACCAGTAGGCCAAGCATAGACCAGTAGGCCAAGCATAGACCAGTAGGCCAAGCATAGACCAGTAGGCCAAGCATAGACAAGTAGGTCAAGCATAGACCAGTAGGTCAAGAGTAGACCAGTAGGTCAAGAGTAGCCCAGTAGGTAAAGAGTAGACCAGTAGGTCAAGTGTAGACCAGTAGGTCAAGTGTAGACCAGTAGGTCAAGTGTAGACCAGTAGGTCAAGTGTACTGTATTCTAAGTCTAATCTCAACTACCACTGACACTCTTCATTCATATAAAAATAACATCAACCTGCAAACAAGCCAGTTAGAGCAGACTACCCAACCCTTTTAATAAAGAGGACCACAAAATATGCGGTGAGAAACACAAAGATAAGAAAGACAGAAGTAGTGAGAAAACACGTCAATAACAATGTAAGGAAAACACCCCCCCTTCTTCCCCACCATGGTATCCCCAAATACCACTTTCACACCCTCACTACCGAGCTCAGAACCGCGTGCCCAGAGCCAGGAAAGACTGTTAAAAAGCATATAGGTGGTGGTGAATGAGGGCGACATATATAGTGACATCTGCCTTGTCTAAGTCAAGGCCGGCCATTTATGTTTCTCTCTCTCATATATCCTCACCTTCCCCCTCCTGCCTCACGCTATGTCTCCTCCACCGCCTCTTATTACCCTCCATACTCACCTCTGTGTGTGTGTTGGGCGAGGAACTAAACTTAATAATGGAAAATAATAGTTTTGTTTTTATTATTACTGCTCCAGTGGTGTGGAGTTGTCTCACTCAGGTCTCAGAATCTATTGTTCCAACAATAATTTATATACTTTTTTCCTAGAACTTCCACTCTAATACTCTCTCAAACCTACTGTTTTATGAATTTAGTAAACATTATATGCAATGGTATTCGTCGAAACATATTTATATTAAATGTGTTTGTGTGATACAGAATGTCTAGGGTTCTAATAAATTTTTAAAACAGTATGTTACTGTCTAGTATTACTGATTCTATATTTTCTTGTTCAGTAGTATCAAGAAGAAATATTTGCACTATTGAGGCTTATATATATTTTTTCTAGTGTTCTCTGCTTGTCTTAAACCCTTTGTTATCATTGTACTTATAATGCTTTCCCTTATGCAGACGGGCGACACATTTGCGGCGCCAATTACAAAATTATCACTAACTGCGTTTCCAATGGTACTCATTTTTAGGTAACAAATTACATATGTTCTAGTCACTTTAAATTGAATTACTTGTTACGTTTAAGGTCTATCGACTGCACAAGTGTCATGGAGACAGCAATTCGCCTAAAATATTCATAAATGTCAACTCTCATTGGATATATGTAAAAATGTTTTATTGGTTATGATAACGGTGCTTCACATTATTTTGTATGCAAGAAATGACCCTTTTAAATCCATTACCCTTGTTTAATGTTGAGCTTGATGATGCAACAAGCTTTTCTGCAGCAAATGATATCTACCAGCAATATTAAAGTCACTAATAAACAAACAGGACAAATGAATAAGCACCACCTTCTCTTAGCTGGAGACTTCAACATCAACCTTGGCTTACTAGATGATCAGCCCGTAACTGATTTCATCAACAATATGAACAACACACTTCTCATACCAACAATAACTAAACCAACCAGGCTCACTGAGACAAGTGCAACCATAATAGACCACATATGGACCAATATACTAGCCCCCCTTAAATCAGGGATAATCACAGATAGCACTACAGACCACTACCCTACCTTCCTCCTGACAAACATTAGTAAACCACCACTTGAATACAACAAAGTCTCATTTAGACTCCATGACGAGGCCTCAGTAGGAAGTTCACAGCTGACCTAGAGACTGTTGAATGGCCTACAGAATTCTCCAAGGCCAATGGTATTGATGACTGGACAGACATCTTTCTTAACAATTACTTAGACTATACAACAAACATTGTCCTATAAAAACAAAACAGATCACAAACAAACGGCTTGGTTGCCCATGGCTAACCAGCACATTCTGAATCCATTGACAAGAAACACCAATATGAAAAGCAATATAGACAGGGCTTAATACACAAAGATATTCTTAAACACTATTCATCAGCTCTCACCAAAGTAATAAAAAAAGCCCAAACAACTATACTACTCCAGTAGATTCACAGACACTAGAGGAGTATATAAAAAAAGACCTGGAAAACTCTCTCTCAGATTCTAGGGGCCCACAAACTGAGAAAAACCAAGAATATTGTCCTAACTAAACCTAATGAAACACCACTACATCCCACTGACACAGCTAACAAGATAAACGACTTCTTCTCAAACATAGGATCTAATCTCGCCAGTAAAATCCCACATACCAATGCCCATGCCGGGGACTACCTAGATGGAAATTTCCCTAATTCCTTCTATCTTGCACCAACTGAGCCCACGGAAGTCATTGAGATCATAAAGTCACTTAAAAATAACTCGGGGAATCTGTCTCATGTCCCACCATTACTGTACAAGCGAGCGGCCCATGTCCTTTTGCATGCTATTTCATTACTTTTTAACAAGTCAATAGAGACTAGCACCTTCCCGAAACTACTCAAGATGGCAAGGGTTACACCAATACTAAAGGTGGTGACCCTACAGACTTGAACAACTATAGGCCAATATCTAACTTACCATTGCTATCCAAAATCTTGAGAAACTCGTGCACAGGAGACTGTATTCATTTATAACGGCTCAAAACATACTCAACCCCTGCCAGTTTGGATTCAGGAAAAATAAAAGCACTAATGATGCAATCATAAAATGCTAGATCTGCTTTACACAGCATTGGAAAATAAGGATATCCACTAGGAATTTTTATTGACCTAAGAAAAGCTTTTGACACAGTAAACCACGAAATCCTACTCCACAAACTTGACCCACTACGGTATAAGAGGCCATGCGCTTGCTTATTTCAAATCTTACATTACTAATAGGTATCAGTACGTCACCATTAAAGACACAGCATCAGCAACACGGCCACTTGATACTGGAGTTCCGCAGGGAAGTGTCCTTGGTCCCTGCTCTTCCTCATATACATCAATGACCTTCCAAACGTATCCCAACACCTGAAACCCATTCTCTTTGCTGATGACACGACTTATGTCATCTCTCACCCTAATCTTGCCACCCTTAAACACCATTGTGAATGGGAGCTGATTAAAATATCGACTTGGATGACAGCCAATAAACTTACGCTTATCACTGACAAAACTTACTATATTATGTTTGGTAGCAAGGCAGGAGATGCACAAATTAACATTAAGATTGACAACACTCTAATTACCAGAAATAAATGGGGGAAAATTCTTAGGCTTATACCTTGACAATAACCTGAATTTCAGCACCCATATCCAGCATATAGCCAAAAAAGTATCCAAAACGGTTGGGATCCTCTCCAAGATACGATACTACGTGCCGCAAAATGCCCTTCTCACACTATACCACTCACTTATTTATCCATACCTCACCTATGCTATTTGTGCTTGGGGATCAACTGCAGCAACACACCTAAAGCCAATAATAACCAAACAAAAAGCTGCAGTAAGAATAATCACTAAATCCCATCCCTGGCAGCACACCCCCCCCCACTCTTCAAAGATCTAAACTTACTCCCAGTTCAGTACATCCACACTTACTACTGTGCAATCTACATCTACAGGGCCTTAAAACTCTAATATCAACCTTGACCTAAAACGCTTTCTTGATAGTTGTGACAGAACCCACAGGCATAACACCAGAAACAAACATCTCTACGACATTCCCCGTGTCCGACTAAACCTTTACAAAAATTCAATGTATGTCAAAGGCCCTAAAATCTGGAATACCCTACCTGAGAAATCTAGAACTGCAGACACATTCATCACCTTCAAAACTACCATTAGAAAACATTTATCTCCTGATACACCCCGTCAACTAACTTCACGAATACCACCTGATGGTTCACACTTACATCGCTCACTCATTTGACCATAAACAGAAATATTAATCTCAGTCTTAAAATAATGAATCCTGTGATACTCCAATACTGAAACTATATACTGTGCCAAAACAAAAGCATTCACATTGCTAAACTCACAAAATAGTATTTAGTCACTTAGCCATAATACCAACTTACCTCATAATTTGTAATATTTTACATTTAAGAATAAAACTAAGTATGCCCGAAATTTGCCTAGCCATGCTAAGCGTTCTAGTGGTACACTCTGTAATCTCAATTTTACTACATGTAAACCAAACAATAACCAAATTTCTGTAAACTCAGCATTGTAATCCTTATAGAGAATAAACTTTGAATTGAAATATATTTATAATTATGACTGGTTCAAAAATGCGGGTCTTCCACTTTGTTCATGTCAGTGTAGGTCATTTTGTTCATGTCAATGTTAGGTCACTTTGTTCACGTCAATGTTAGGTCACTTTGTTCACGTCAATGTTAGGTCACTTTGTTCACATCAATGTTAGGTCACTTTGTTCATGTCAATGTTAGGTCACTTTGTTCACGTCAATGTTAGGTCACTTTGTTAAGATAAGATTTCGTTCGGGTTTTTAACCCGGAGGGTTAGCCACCCAGGATAACCCAAGGGAAAATCAGTGCGTCATCGAGGACTGTCTAACTTATTTCCATTGTGGTCCTTAATCTTGTCCCCCAGGATGCGACCCACACCAGTCGACTAACACCCAGGTACCTATTTGCTGCTAGGTGAACAGGACAACAGGTGTAAGGAAACGTGTCGAAATGTTTCCACCCGCCGGGAATCGAACCCGGGCCCTCCGTGTGTGAAGCGGGAGGTTTAGCCACCAGGCCACCGGGTCATGTCAATGTTAGGTCACTTTGTTCATGTCAGTGTTAGGTCACTTTGTTCACGTCAATGTTAGGTCACTTTGTTCATGCCAATGTTAGGTCACTTTGTTCTTGTCAATGTTAGGTCATTTTGTTCATGTCAATGTTAGGTCACTTTGTTCTTGTCAATGGTAGGTCATTTTGTTCATGTCATTATTAGGTCACTTTGTTGATGTCACTGTTAGATCACTTTGCTCATGTCAGCATTAGGTAACTTTGTTCTTGTCAATGTTAGGTCATTTTGTTCATGTCAGCATTAGGTAACTTTGTTCATGTCAATGTTAGGTCATTTTGTTCATGTCAATATTAGGTCACTTTGTTCATGCCAGTGTTAGGTCACTTTGTTCATGTCAATGTTAGGTAACTGTGGAAAATACTGTATATTCTCCAAAAATACAGTGTATTTTGTATGTAAAATAGTGTAATATATTGTAGGTAATAAAAATTAATTTGTAAATAAATAAAGAACCAGCAAAATGGGTGAGCGTCGCTGGGAAGAGACGCCATTGTTTTTTTAATGTGGTACAGGCACGCTAATGAAATGTGCATAAATTTCATCGCTCTGGAAATTAAATTGTGTTTGAAACTTCTCAAATAGGAGCCGAAATTGTTGGATTTGCAGTCTTGCATAATGTGAACATTAAACGAATGGACAGGACAGCTTAGGAACCCCAGCTAAGTCGATGTCTATTTATATTGAGATTCTGGCCAGTATTTTCTTCATATTTAGGCTGGGGTTGTATGACACACCGTAATCTCCAGACTAATTTGTGAGTCTTATTATTATAAATTCTCCTTCAATGTATATGTATTCATGTTTTAAATTTAATGTACAGTCCCCATATTTATAATGTTTTTACCAGAATTCTTGGTGATGTATATTTCATTTGAAATT